CTTCATGCACCCAAATCATGGCATGTTTACAAACAAACTGGACAGCGAGGTTGATCATCTGGTGAAAGAAGCCACAATTACTGATATCAAAATCAACTTCATACCAACGTTGACAGCCTTGGTCCGAGGTGCAAGGGCTTTGGATATGACTGTCGCAGACGTCAATCAAGCAACAAGAGCCTTGCTGAATTTGAACACCTATTTTGAAGATTCGCGTCACTGGAAGGAGGTCTGGACAAGCGACATTGTCAAAGACACATGGAGAGAGCTATGGTTGGCTGACGACATGCCCAATGCACAACCGCCATCGGAATGGTTTCGTACTGAGCTTCCGACATTAAGCCATTTTGACACAGCCTTGGAGTTGTGGTACCGATGTAAGATCTTGATCGACAAATTTTCTAACACAGCTGACCTCAACAGATCTATTTATCTTCTCAATCCCGATCCCTGACAAGATCCCTCATGTTTTCCAGGCATCGCACCACAGTGTTTCGGCATCTTATGGTATTGTCTGCAAATTGAAACGGAATTGCACCTTGCAGATTTGGGATCACGCAATATCGTGGCGCGAGACAAACCTTTATCTCTCTTCTGCTATGTGCACATTGCCACCGTTCATACGAAATTCTCTCCTGGGTTTGATGAAGCTCACTTCATGTCTCATTCTCCACCACGCTGATCAGATCCTTCCTTGCGCAGGTCAGTTTCTCGTTTTCACTCCGGACTATCAGGAGCTAACGCAACATAGATTTCTTCAATCCTGGTTGGGAAGTAGAGATCGGCAGCTCGAAAGGGCAGCTCACTCACCGCAACGTCTTTCGTCGGAAGGTCGACCCCATCGTCAACGGAATCACTGACATGCAGAAATTTTCTCCGGTGACTGAGATCAAGACAAAGAAGCCGACTGTGACGATGCTGTCCCACGTTTGGTTTGCAAAAGATATCAAGACTGCTCTCCTTGCAGCAGACATCATCACAAATGAGTGGGGTTTCAAAGATTACCAGCTCGATATTTACGGCGCACTGAACAAATCGCCAGTCTATTCCTCAGAATGTCAGGAGATCCTCGCTTGCAAAGGTCTCGGACAACAGGTGGCAATGCGAGGCACTGCTGATCCGGCCAAGGTTCTTGCTGATACGTGGTTGTTCCTCAACTCTTCCGTATCAGAAGGTTTGCCTCTCGCTCTCGGCGAGGCTGCTTTGACTGGTGCCCCTGTCGTTTGTACTGACGTAGGCGCATCGCTTCGTGTCCTCACAGACCCTGATGATGGGAAACGTTACAGCGAAGTTGTCGCACCGAATGATGCTTACGGTCTTGCGCGCGCCCAAATCAATCTTCTGGGCATGTTGGATGAGTGGGCTCAGTATGCAGACGATGCCCCCGGAGTTGCGGCACCTATACTACCGCACAAGCCCACGCCCAAAGACGTCGAGATCATTACACGTCGCATGTACGAAAAATCTGAGTACCGCCGCAAATTAGGAATGATGGCCCGAAACATCGTGCAAAAGTCGTTTGGTGGCGACAGATATCTACGGGAACATGAGCAGATGCTGTGGATCGGCAAAGCCTACTATGAAATGTTGGGTATTGACAAGCGGATCATACCACCGAAGACCCCAACTCGTATGCTTTCACTTCGTTCTCGAGTAGCCCGGCAACAGCAAGAAGTCGAGGCGACTTACAGCGAAGTTTTCGACCCTCAGATGGAAATGATGCTCCACCCACGGCCATGGGCCAATCAAAGGCATTCCGGCGCATCTTCTTTCTCATCCTTCTATATGGATGAATCTGCACGCTCCTCGACATATTCCTTACCAACATGGGAGCATGACCGAAGCGGCATGCGCACACCAGACTCATCGATCAGATACGCAAACTCGGAAGAAGATGGATCGCCCCCGCTGGTGACTCGTCCGCCAAGAACACATTCTCGTACCCAGGATGGACGTCCCGTGTCACCATCACCTAGTGCAAAAGGAAAACGGCCTGTGCATCCTGCTTATCGCAACTCGGGTAGCAATTCAGGTAGCAACAACAGCAGTGCGAGGAGCTCGTACTGTGCCCCACAAACAGATACGAGAAGGGATTTATTAGTCGTAAGACAGAACGTTCCAGGTTACGACAGTGCGAGAAGCAGCACTCGGATCCGAAGTCATCTGAGCGAGATGGAAACTATTGAATATGATGATTTCGGTGGGCGTTTGTGAATAAGGGTGTTCTTACTTACCTCTTTCTTTTTTTTTTCTCTTTATCTTTTCGTCCTTCCCATTTTTCATTCCCTTTCTCTCTCTTTTGTTAAAAGAGTCATTATCAAAATACTCTGAATTTTTATCATCTAAAAATTGGGATTTGCATTAGCAGGCGGCACAGTTTTTTCTGCACACTCGCTGATTGTCCTACTTGCACAATCTTCCAATTAATATAATAATGAAAGCATTTCGCGTTCTTAGTTGGCGTGCCTTGCTAAGCCTCTTGGTCACCCAAATATATAAATCAAACAATATCAAACAATGGTGTCATTTGCATTGTATGCAACAAAAGCGTATAGTAGAATCCTACTCAGTTTGAGGACCTAGGCCGCTGATATGGTAAACTTCTTCGGACGGGTCGTTGAGGTCCAGGTACGTACGTAGCATGATGGCTGGATGGATCCGAGATCCGATATTGGTAGGAATCGACGATGTAGCCGACACCAGCGAGTTCGAGTAGCCCAGCAACTACTTGTGGAGAGACCACTCAATTGGATCACTCTAATGAGTCCTGACATCGCCTTGCTTTGGTATCAGAGGAAAATCTGTGAATTGTAAGAGCCAATGATGCCAATGACTGAGATGATTATTGAAGGCTGCGTCATGCGATAATCCTCAATCCTACTACAAAGAGCTCTTAGGGTCAGTATGTTTCAAAGTTACAAGTGTCATTGAGGTAGCCTTAATTTCCAGCAATCTATGCCAGCACATAATAATGATCGAGTACACGATGGGAAATGCGTCCAGCTGACAATAGTAGGTTCGCTGCTCAGCATCGCGTCTCCACGGCCCTTTGGATGCGACGCGTCCATCTCGTCGTGCTTCATCACCACGGACGATCCGCACCGTCAATTTTCTGAAAGCTTCCATTCTGGAGACAGCATCTTTTGTAAACAGGTGGCTCTTTTTCCACATTCAATGGTGGATTACATTATTCGTTTGTGTCTATTGTGTGCTAATCACAAGAAATGGACTTGGTTCTATAAATACAGGTATTGCGTCCATCAATGATAACAATTCATCAGATTGCATTGCGAAATCAAAACTCCATTTGTGTATTCATGCAACGTAAAGAAAGAGCGCTCAATATGCCCTAGTAGTTGAAGACAGTCAGGGAAGGGTTCAACGCGATAGGCAGAAGACAGTGCATTATGACGGTGACCGACCACCTATTCAGCAAGTTAGCGATCAGAATGTAGGTTTACTTCATGCCACTTACGGAAGGACGGCAGTCAAGCCATCGATCTCCCACCCATGCGGAGCGAACTTGCCGAGGTAAATCATACCTCCGACCATGGCAAACATCATCATGTACATCCACTTAAACCTCTTCCAGATCTTCGGGACCTCGGCGAAAAAGTTGGAGTTATCTTTCTCCTTGGCCGTAGCGCCCCAGCTCATGTCGATACTGAACATGTGTGCGCAGATAGCCAAGAGGATGTGGAAGGAGACACCGCCGAAGAAGATCATGAAGAAGGGCATCCACTTTAGATTTTCGAAAAGTGCTTGCAAGAGTCCAGCTTCGCCGATTCGATACCGCATAACAGCGAAGCAGATGTTCGACATTAAGTTGAAGACGACGATCAAGGTAACAAAAACTGGAGACGTCAATATACAGAATGGGAAACGGATTGTAATCTACTTACTCTGCCATGAGGGCACATAGTACTTGTCAAGGTCGCCGTTGAGCCATCCAACAAGGAAGTAATTCAAGGCGCCAAGAGGGACGGCAGACCCAAGGGCATAGTAGGAGAAGATGTAGCCGCAGATACTGATTTTAGATGAGAGTTGAATGTTGGAAGTCAAGAATGTGCGGAAGAGTTTTGTAAAGGGAGATTTCCAGAGCCAGGTGTGGACTGGATTGAACACGAGTTCGTTGCAACCGTATGCGTATCTACAAAACTTGTTAGCAGAGTTCGTTACATTGATGCCCACATGACATACTTCTCCCATCGGTCCAGTTCATCAAAGATGGACAACGATACTCCCTCCTTAAATCCACACCCATGGTAGCTGGCCAATCGAACGATGTTGCCTCCAATTTGGAGACGGAGCGCGATATCGAAATCTTCAGAGACGTGACTTTCGGACCAGAAGCAAACGTAGCCGTTTTCTTCTGGGGGGTTGCCTACCGACTGAACAGCTTGCCATCGCAAGAAAGCATTGTGACCGACGAAAGGTGCAACTTCACCACTGCCAACGGAAAATCGAATGGCTGTGTACACAAGGTTTGTGAAGTATGTGATGCCTGGCGGTATTTAGCTTGCTGCCCATACATACAGGATGCAGGTACTCACCGTTCTCAAAGTAATCATATTGTACCTGCATGACACCAGTTGCATGTTGGATGATGGCAACTTCAGGGGATAGAAACATCTCCGCTGCTCCATACATGAGGCAATCCTCAGGTACAATGGTGTCTGAGTCAACAATAAGAATGATCTCTCCCATGCGGATGTTACCACCAGCTTTTGCTCGTGGGTCGGCCGCCAGCACAATGTCAAGCGCCTCGTAATAAAGATCAAGCTCTTCCTTTTCAGTAATTGCTGCATTTCCCTTCTCGTACCTGTTGTCGACCAGCGCTTGGAGCTGGTCCTCTACGCGATTTGAAACATTGAGGGCGAAGTTCATGTTGGATGCCTTCTTGAATTTCCCCCTGCGTACGAACCCTTCGTGGTTGTGCTTAGGACGAGATACCCAACCGATGTTATTATTCTTGTAAAATTCCAGAAACTTTTGGTTGTCCTCTTCGGAACGGATTGCCATGCCATCATCGTTCATGAATATACGTGCTGTACCACCGCGCGATTCATAATACGAGATAGCTGCTTGCAAACTGGCGACAGTGGGCTTGACAACACCTTCTAGCGACTCTGTGTAGATGGGCATTTGAATCGTAATTGGTGCTGGTGTGAACCCGAGAGAACGTGCCTGCGCCAAGTTGGGCTTGATCGCGCTGTGGAAACGACTGTTTGACTTGACACCTCCAATGGGCCCGATGACTTCAAACAAGTTACCAAAAACAACGACGACGAAGAAGAGACCCAAGGCCACCCAGATTGGTTCCGTAAGGACTAGAAGTAGACGAGGATAAAAATGATCGGTCATGGTCTGAAGAATCAGTTGACGGTTGCCAAGCCCAAACACCAGGATTATTATTAGCACCATGGCTAAGCCAACGAAGATGGAACTTGTGAAGATGAGTGGTCGTGCGAGTGACTCTTTGGGTCCTTCAGCTTTCTCGGCGTCAACATCAACCTCTTCGGCATTGACATCAACATCCTTTTCCTTCGAGACATCAAAGTCGACACTGGAGCCCATGGTAGAATTTGCGCTTGACTGTATAGCGCTATCAAAGCCACTGAAAGGAGACTTGGAGGTCCCCCATACGAGAGCCAATATCCTCGATTCGATCTCCATGGCTTGAGACAAAATGGCTCCAAGGTCGTCGTGCCATACAAGCAGAAGCCGCTCTTGTCGAATAAGAGCGGCATACTGAAATTTCTTGATTGTAGAACAGGCAGTGACATCGGCCATGGAGTCAAAGATTTGAATCTGAGATCCATTTTGGAACATCAACTCGGTCTCAAACGGTTCAAGGACATCGAAGATTGCTTGTGTACCGTCGGTAGACATCGTTAAGGCAACACCAGGGTTGATCCGTTGCACTGCATGGAGAAGAAGCTGATCAGTTGTCCGTGGCTCTGTAACATACTCCCCTGCACCTTTCCGGATGAGAACGCCTTCGCATGTTGCTGGATATGAGGGTTCTGATGTCATCCATCGCATCGAACAAGCTTTGGCATGGAGATGTTTGATGATCTAATACATATTAGTAGATAGCGAAGGGCTTCCCAGGCTAGTAGACTTACTGCACGGTAGCGTTTGTTTTCATCAATCTTCATGGTCGTCGGCCGAAGAGCGGACGGACGACCAAGAGATGTCTGTGACTGTGCGAAACGAATGGAGTCGGTCATACTTCCGGTAAACGACTGCCTCCTTGAGGCCGTCGCTGGTCTTGACCCTTCGAACTGGATAGAATAATTACTGGACATTGTGACGGAAGCCCGTGAGAGTACGGAATTAGTAGTATGGACAATATAAGGTAAGAAAATGAGTGTCGTGAGCGAGTGTTCGACGCAGTATCAACTGCAGAACGAATGAAGCGTGAACTGAAACCAATAAAGGAACGTGACGGGCAATATAGCCCTACGACGAAAGGCCGACAGCGATAGTGAATCGATTACAAGGGTAAAGATACAGAAGGATTGAGAAGCGGGTTGTAGGGGGAAGATATTAAGATGCAAGAATTGATAATGCTCTAGACCACTGTCACTGGTTATGTTGACAGGGGTTTAGCATCAACCTCCATGACATGGGCACAGCTACACGTACCGTTCACACTATCGAGCCCCTTGCGTGGGTCCAGCTGAGACCGTTCTCCTATACGAGAGATCGGGATGATTCATGGATGGAGATCAGTGCGTAAGCCGTTGTGGAGACATGTTAGTCGAACTCACCAGTCGAGGGGGCATATCTGGACTTTCTTGCATGTGTCAAGCTTTCAGGGTTCTATTGTTATCCTGGAGTTGCACGAGCCCTGGCCACTGCCCCGTTTGATGGGTCCTGCTCAGGAGTGCCAGCCGCTCGTAATTGAGGAGCGACTATGTTTCATGGCGGTACTGCTCCCAATTTACAGGTTATATATTTGACATCTGGGCCTGCCACATTCCAAACTTTTTGGGCCCGGTATCTGTACCTGTACCTGACACCAGATGTTAGTCTCTATGGACCACATCAATAGAGACGGCAGTGAACACTAGGACAGTTGCTCGCTTTGTACCCGATACAAAATTGGCCCTGTTCAAGTTTCTTCAAGCTTCAAGCTAAAATCTTTCGTTACTCTTACACTTCCTTTGACACTAAAAGCAAACTAAGCAATACTCGCGTGCGAAGTCAATCCATATCCTGCCACTCAGTTTCAGCACTTATGCAACCAGTAGCAATGGGCAGCAGCAGAAATCGATTTTCTTATCATGATGTAATGATCGACTTGATTTTAAGGCACAGACATGTTCCCTGTTAGGATATCAGCACACAAGAACCGGCAGCATGTTGAATAGCACTAAGTACTTTACGGATTTATCCCTGACCGCCCCCACGCTACAATGATCGATCTGGAGACACGGTCTTTCGGTACCGCGAAACCTGGTGTTCGTCTGGGTAAATTTCAACGAAGTCGATTTAGAAGTACCAGGGCTTGGCCATAACTTTTCTGGGCGGATGTTATCTCAACGCTAACGGGGACGTTCGCCGATCTAACCGAGCACGAGGCTGCAATCATTACCATCAACTAGCCACTGCGCTATTCTCAAGCTTCAACTTTAAATTCTGTGCGTGACAGCTTGTTCGTGAGCGTCAATGCTTTTACAGAATGTTTGATAATAGTGAAAGCAGGGATGGCGTCGTGCCCGACCAGCGATTTGTGAGACTGGCGACGTGAGCCTTGCAACCGAGGTATTGAAATCCTTCACACAGACGCAAAGGGGTACCGTATACGGGTAAACAGGGTGGAATATCGAAAACCTGCAAGGCCATGCACATTGCACTCGTTGCGATTTACCGGCCTGCAGGTGACATTTTCTGAACAGCCAGGAGCATATCGCACGTTTCTGCCTTCATGTCCAATAAGAACAACCGCGGGATGCATGGTGCAGGTGGGCCGTTCGGGCCCTAGGTTATAGTATGATCCTTCGAAAGCTTCCGTGAGGCTCAGGGTAGTGCTTCTGGGTCCTTTGTCCCCAATTTTGATAGCGCAGAGTCCATTGAATGATGACGGTGAGGCTGCTTCCCTAAGGGAACCTTATCATCTGCAACCACACACCGGCATATGCTAACGCAACCATGGTTGTGCTCTCAGCACTAACACTAACAAGAACCAGTCAGGGTATGTCTGGCAACTGGGTTAGAACCGTGCTTCTCGCCCTGGTCTATGCGGTGGGCCAGAATGTCAGTACGACGACCGCACTTTTAACATGTTACTTTCAACAGTGGTAGGCAGGTTTCTGGAGGACTCTCATCGCACTGCCGAACCAGTAAACTGTCGGTCCTGTCAATTGGTGGCTTACTTGACTGGGGGACCGTTATCTCCCTAACAATAATGCAACTCTAATTGGGCGCCGGAGAGTTCTAGGTAGCTCAACAAC